TCTATCTAGTATTTATCATATTTACAAAATAATAAAGATTAATTATTCATTTTTGGTTATATATTTCTTCAATTAAACAGATGTTAACAAAAATATTACAATTCAATAAACAAAATAATAATAATAATAAACCTTTAAATAGTAAAAACACTTCTTTTTCAGAATAATTAAAGATTATTTTACTTTATAATAATTTTTTAATATAATAAATATATTAGAATTATCAATTTTTGTTAAGAAATAATAGATATTGATTATTTTAATTAGAAAATATTTAGAGTATTTTTTAAAGATTTTTAAATTTCTTGTAAAGTACCTTTTAAAATATTTATAGGAATAAAGATAAGAAATATTGATTGTTAGCTTTGAAAGAGAATAGAATTTGTATTTTTTTAGAAAAATTTTAATTAAATTTATAAAAATGAATGGAAAATAAATAAATTTTGTGAAAAATGAAGATAAACAATAAACAAATTATTTATTCTAATCAATTAATCTTAACAGAAAAGTTAATTAAAAATTATAATTGAAATCAAATTATTAGATTAATTAAATTATTTTTAGTGAATAAATGAGTGAAGGAAATTAGAGGAGCTGAAATCTCTGAAATAATAATAAGCAAAGGAAGTAGAAGCGATTCTTTGAAAAACAATAGATGAGCATTTATTTGTTACAAAGATATCCTCTACTCCTTAGTGAATGGCTAGCTTTGCTACATGCTATTCTCAGTTTTTTATCAAGGGATAAGTTTTTAGAAGCGGTATTGCTATTAATTCATAATAGTTTAATCATAATTATTATTATTTCATCCTTTAAACGTCTCCTCTTTCGCCTAATAGAATTTTTAATCTATATGAGCCTTTTAAGTTTTTAGAAAAGAGAGATTAGCTCCTCTAACCTTTTGAGTGTCATATTTCTGCAAAGAAAGACTGATATCAGTTAGGACTCCTTCGTCAACTTCTAGCAAGTTGGGTTTAGTCAAAATCATTTAAAACTCTACAACTTAAAATTTATTTCAAAATTTGTCAAAAAGAAAAGGGCTGATTGATTATTTTTAAATCATTTTATCAAAATAAATCGTTTTTTTCACATTTTTTAAAAGGGCTTATTACTTGTTAAAATTTATTCTATGGATAGTTTTTGCTTTTTAGAGATGCTTAAGAAACTTAATTGATTAATTATTGATAAATCTAAACCTAATTTAGATTGTTAGATACTCTAATTGCTATAGGAAGTGCTATTTAAGACGATATTTGACTTTAAAGGACTTTGTTTCTGCTGTAAAATGCTAGGCATTAGTTTAACTATTTCGGTGGTTTAGCTATTAACATGTGAAATAACTAATTATAAAAATAGTTTTTAAATACTCGATTGGGTTAACGAATATAAGTCTAATCTCTCAAATCTCTTGCGATTCTTTTCAAAAGACCCTCGCTTTTAACTAGACTATTTCGTTAAACTCACCAATAACAGTTTTTAATCCTTGAAACACATTTAAAAGGTTTTTTCACAGATAAAATAGCAAATGGCACTGCGATTTCAAAATAAAATTTTTTTCCCTCATACAAATAAATGCAAATGCACATTTTCAAAATTATTTTAAACATGCAATTCAACAGTAAACCTCAACACCTCGTCATATTTCTCTCTTTTCAATTATAACTTCTAACTCTAGCTTTCTAATCCTTTTCATATAAAAACTCAATTAATATCTTAAATATCTCCAAATAAAATTAACACATTAAAAAATTAAGAAAAAATAAGAAAAAAAAAAGAAAATTAAAAAAAAAAAAAGTTTAACTGAAAAATTAAATTTAAAGAAAGAAACCTAAATAATAAAATAAATACACCAAAATATAAAATAAAGTAAAATTACATTAACTAACATACAAAATATATATTTTTGTAAATAAAATTAAATCTTAATTGTCTATATAGCTTGCATTTTTATTTTCATTTTGGCTTGATGTACTTATAAATTTTTTATAATTATTTTGCTTTTTTTATATAAAATTATAAAATTCTGATTTTTAACATAATCCATTGGGTTTTAATTATTCATGAAGAAAAGCTTATAAATAAAAACATTTTAATCTTTGCTATCTTCTTCAACCATTATTATTATAGTTTATAATTAATAAATATAATAAAAAATAGTATCAATTACTCATCAGTTTAAGTTACACGAGTTTTTATTATTACTAAATTTCAAAAATATATCTTTATTATATTGTAGATGGATCATTTATGAAATTATCCATAATTTATTGTTTCAATAGTTTTTCTAAAAACTAAATTTATTTTTTATTTTAAAAAAAATTTGCTTAAATCTGATTAAATTTTCATAATAATATTGAAGTTTTGCTTAGAAATACAGCTACTGCGGTTTGATACAAAGAATCAATAATGAATGACAGATTATTATTTGATTAATGTTTTAATTTAAAGCATAATTTTTTTATTGAAATAAAATTTATTTATTCTTGTTTAAAATAGTTTTAAAGATCCTTTTATATGATTGATTTTAATCAAATTAAATTTTGGTTTATTTTAGAATTTATTTTAAAGAGATTAGATAAATTTTAATTTGTAGAAATATCATTATTTATTTATTAATTTTCTTCTTTTTTTAGTAATTTCTATTATATAAATGAATAAATTATCGAATAATCACATTTTTATAGTTTAGATAATTCTATGATTTAATTTATATGCAATAATTTTAATAGGAATCAATGGTTATTTTGTTTTGTGTTTTTCAAATAGCTTTTGAAAGGTAATTATTTTTGGATTAAATAATTTTACAATTTTAAAATATTTTTTTGTGGCTTTTTTAAAAAAAAGTATTATTTTGTATGAATTTATTTAATTTTTTATTTTTTTGTAAGTTTAAAATAGAAATAAATAGAAGCAATTTAAATAATTTTTGAATAAAATTTATTTATATGCTATAAATTAAATAAAATAGATTTGATAATTTTAGTATTCAGAGAAAGATCTAATTTATATGTCTGATATAGCTAGATAGATTGATAGTTTATTTTTACGATTCAATTAATTATATTTAATTTTCTCTATAAAATACCCAAATATAGCTTAATTGGATTTGCAAGTAAATAGATTCATTTTTTAGATAGGAATTAGAAAGATATAAAATTAGGGTATTATTTTTTTATAAAATAAATAAGATATGTATTAAGTTTGATAGTTGGATTAGAATCCTAAGTAAGTTACGATTTACTTAGTTTTTGCCTTTTTCTAGCATGATTTAGAGAGATTTAAAAATAAATGTTTCATAATAATGATATAAAGAAATAGGATTAAATACTTTGTATTAATTCATTCATGTTTCAGTGAATGGAGTAGTAGAAAGTGAATTAATTTGCAAGATGATAATCTATTTATAACAATAAAGTCTTAATTTTCTTCTTAAAAATTATTACTTGATGAATATTGAATTGCTTTTGCATTATATTTTAGGTAAGAAGATAGTTATATTTCATTTATTAAGTAAGTGAACAAAAAAATTAGATAGAAGTTTACAAAAATCAGTAAAAAGAGGAGAATCAGTCTCCAAATCATTAAATAATAATTAAAATTAGCATTCAAAAATAAAGTAGCGTACAAATATTAAGTGCATGGCTGAAGAAGGAGAATTACAATAATTATTAGAAGAGTTTGATGATGTAGACGAGCATAATTATCATAGAATAAACGATTTACTCTAGCAATTATCATAGTTTCCCATCAATTAATTAAAAGAATACAAAAATTCAGTGTTGGAAATATTGAGATCGAATCTCAAAGTAAGTGAAACTGCCTTAAAACCAACACAAATATACACAGATTTTTTATCTATAGCAGAACCTCGTGAAAAAGCATCATTTGAAGAAGATATAAAATAAATTGTTATTAATTTAGGTGATTCAGATGCTTAAACCAGAAAGTATTCCCATATGTTTTTACTTAGTTGGGTTAAAAAGTTTAATGATTTAAATAGTGTTTTAAGGGCATTTTTGAGTTCAGGATTCAGCTCCAATAATGTAAAAAATTAAATAGAAAATAAAATTACATTTTTATTAGCTAAAATGAAGTAAAAAATCTTGTTTTAAAATTAATTAGTAAACTATAAAGCAAAAAAGCATCAACTCTTTTTAAGGAATAATAATTACTGAAGCGAGAGCAATTGACTGGAATTCAAAGGAAATTTTCAAAGTAATAGCAGAACTCCTGCAAGTATGGCAAAATGCATCCCACACAAATGTTTAGAAAGCAGCCGATCATGTAAGCATTTCACGTTTAAAGAATTATTAAAAAATAAAGAGAAAGTTTGGAGAATTAAGCATATTTGTTTCAGTTTGATGACATATTTAATTACTACTAAAATATTTATACAGTAATTATGCATTCATTGTAAATTGCAAAATAGTAAAATATATTTACTTTGATAATTTGAATTAAATTACAAACAGAGCACAATCAAAGAAATATTAAGTTAAAAATAACAAAACAGCCACTTGAATTAACAAATAGATAATAGATACATAAATTAATATTCAATTTAAAAAATCTTTGTTTTAAAATAGAATTTAGACTTAGCTTTAAATTAGCATCAATGAAATTTGAAAGCTAAAAGTACATAATTTTTTTGCAGATTAGCATAATTATGATAGAATTAAGTGAAATATTAAATGGGTAAACATATAATTCAATGGAAATAAAGCAAATTTTATTAACTGAAAGACAAATGATTCATTGAATGCTTAATTCTTCAAATCAAATTAAATTTAGTTTACTCAAAATAAACAAACAAATATCTTCCACACATTTAAAAATTAATCAAATTTAAAATTTTAATAATCAATTAAGGCATTAGTTTCGCTTAGCAAGAGAGATGAAATGCGATTAGCTGTCACCAAATTAGATATTTCATAAATGAAAATAATAAAGTAAATAGCAGAAAAGCATTTAATATTAGGTCTGCTTCCAGAGGAAATAGAAAATTCAAGCATTATATTAACAAAACACAAAAAAGAAAATGAATAGTAAAGCTAACAATAATAATTGCAAATTTTAAATACAACAATGAATAATACTTAAAATATTTAAAATAATCAATAAAATTCTGCATAAAAAAATGGTACTCATAGCAATGATTAAATATTTTCTGACCTCCTGAGCTAGACTTAAAAAAATAATGAGATCTAATAAAAGAAGCCACTAAAGGAACAAGAAGAAATAGAAGAATAAAACAATAGATACAAAGTTAATTCACATAACAATATAGGCTCTCTGCATAAATTGAGTTAGCAAAACGAACTTCAAATTAAACCAAATGGATTTTAAGTTAAATCTGAGGGATTCATTCTATAATCAGAAAACGTACTAACATATCATTTTGGAATACTAAATGACAAACACTACTAAGATCTCAAAAGTTAAAAGGATTGGAGAGTATGATGTTTTTTATTTTATTTAAAATTCAATTAATGCAGATAATTCAAACAAATTATTAAATAAGTCAGTTGCTACAAGTTCTATTAATTTTCTTTACTATAATCATGAAAAACCTGATTAGATTAAACTCCAAAAAAAAATAAATATTTTAATATTTTGCTAGGATATTTTTACAAATTATAGTAAAGATTTTTATAGGGCTTTCAATGATATGTGCTTATTTAATTAATAATTTGATATTATTTTAACTTAGTTTTAATATCTATTTTTCAACAAAAAAGAGAAATAGCTTATTGATTTAAAATAAAGATTAAAAGTTTATTTATTGATTAAAAATAAAGATTAAAAGTTTATTGTAAATTTTTAATAAAGGCAAAAGCTTAAGCTGTTGAAGAATTGGAAAAAAATATCTAAGATGCTGATGATTTATCTGGAATTGAAGAGTAATTAGAAGACTTTTTAGATTTAGTGTTAGATTTAACAAGTGATAGCAACTTTAAAGTTTAAGTTACTTCTATGAATATAATATTTGCTATAATTGGACTTAAGAAATGCTAAGAAGATAAAATATTTAAAATTATTAGCTCTTCCATCATTGAAAAGTTGGGAGATAGTAAAATAGCAATCAGATAATTGGCATAAAAAATAATTATAAAGCACTTTGAGGTAGTTTTTTGCAATTAATTTTATTTACTTACTTAAACAAATTTAATGAAGATTAAAATAAATTTCAATAAAAACTTAGAAATTTGATGAAAATGAATGGATTTATGAGATAGTCAAAAATATAAAATCAAAAAGTGTTTAATTTAAAGAGGACAGTTTAACTTTATTAGAGATTTTAATCAAAGATTTTCATAATAATGGCAGCTAAGAAAACGAGAATGGAATTGATGACAAAGAGCAAATCAACTCAGATGAAAATCTTTAATATAATAGTAGACTGCCAAAAAGAAATATTAAAAAATCTAAAAAATGCAGCTTTGATTGGTAAAGGGTTGTGAAAGAGTTAAATCCGCTTATTGACGATCCTAAAGATAAAATAAAATCAAAGTGCTTAGATTGTTTCATCTCGTTGAGTTCCACTATAAATGATTAAAATTTATTTACACAATTCCTCCAATAAAATTTGACAAAAGAGCAAGAGATTAAAATACAAAGAGCTATTAGGCCTCAAGTGTAGAGCTCTTAGAGTAAATACTATTTAAGAAATTCCTTAAGTTTAATTTTATTATTTTTATGTTATTTAATTAGTTCATAATAGACTTGATAAGAGTGGAAATTTAAATAGAGGAATTGACTATTCAAGTTATTCGTATCTCGATCCTGAATCTAATATGCATTTTAGTTTTGCAAACATAAAGAAAAATGAGAAATCTGAAGAAAACAAATATCTTCCATCTTCAGCTAATCCAAGTAGCCTCAACAGATCAATTAATAGATAGTTCATAGTAATTTGTTATAATTAAATTTGATTTTTTAAAAAAATATTTTATCTTTTTGTCTATTTTAATCAAGTTAAAAACTAATTTTATTGTGGTTTGTTTAAATTAATCCAAGAATCAATAAGCATTTTTATTTGAAAGTTTTAAATAGGAATTATTTTATAGAAATTTTTATATTTTAAAATAATTTTACATTAAATAAGCTTATTAAAACTTATTTAATGATTGTATTTTTTATAAATTACTTAAATTTTAATTTAATAATTTAACTTGAATATAAAATTTACTTCAGATTTGTTTGTCTTGGTAAAAATTATAATAAGCTATCATATAAATTAGAATACAAAGTATAAACTTAAATTTACTAATCAATTAAAAAAAAGTCTCCTGATATTCCTAGAAAGCAAACTTAAGCAACGAAAAATAGTAGTGAAAATGATTTTAAAATAAATACATACAATTTACTAGACACAAAAGGAGGTAGATATAGCAGCGGTAGCAACCAATAAAGTTACTCAGCAATGGAAGAGAGCACATCAGTTGGTAGCAGTATTTAACAAACACCCAATTAACCAGATTCTATTAAGAAACAGACAAATAACTTTGAAAAAGACTGCTTAGACTATTTAGGAAATCCATTTGAGAAGAGACCTCCTCCAGCAAAATTCAGTAGTGCACAAAAGAGTTAAAAAAGTACTTTTGAAGTTGCTCTTGAACAACAGAATTAAATGGATAAAAGGACTAATTCAACTGCCAACTCTGACAGAAATAAATCGTACAATGTGAGTAATTTATTAAATAAATTTTTTAAATAAAAATACATCAAAAATGAATCAATATTAACTTCTTGAATTAATAATAATAATTTAAATAAAATAGATGTTAGAATCTACCTCAAGCAATATTAATACAGGATCCCCAAATCTCAAAAAGACAATGAAATCTAGCATAAATACAGGAGAAGGTAATAACTACACATGCGAGGAAGATCTTGAACCTCTTCGTAATCCTGAAAATGCAATTAACACTGTTCTAAATGAGTTGAAAAACGGAGATTGGGAAAGATAATTTAATGCTCTTGATACAATAAGGAGATTAATTAAGTACCATCACGAATTACTGGCTAGATCTGTGAATTTTTCCAACATACTCAAAGAGGTAAATTTGAAATGAGTATATTATAGATTTTTGTAAAATTTTAATACTAAATTAGATAAACTTGTTGATCGATAATTTGAGATCAAGCTTAGCGAAAAATGCTATGATGACTATATCAGAAATGGCATATAAATTAAAAAAGCACGTTGAAATACAAATTGATGGTACATTTGCTAAACTGATGAAAAAAGGCATGGATGCAAATGTTTTTATCCTTGAAGAAGTAAAAAAAGCTTTGATTTCCTTATGTACAAATTGCACTCCTTAAAAAATACTATCAAATTGCTTTTAACTGAATATGAAATCTTCATAATCCAAGCAATATGTTCTATAGTGTTTTGACACACTTATCTTAGTTCACCAGGAAAAGTTATAGTAATTAAAAGATTTTGATAAGATTGTAGAAAATATAGGTAATTTTGTAGTTGATGGGTCTCTTGAAGTTAGAAACTGTGCAAAAGTAGCACTACAAAATCTCAGCATGAACTGCATAGAAAAAAAGAAGATACAATAAATTTTAATGCGCTCCAAAGATGAAAACACTGTGAATAAAATTATCAGTGCAATAGATTCTTTTTCAAGAGGAGGACTTGACTCTACTTTAGGTGCCACAGGCCGCTCAACAAGCAGTATTTATGGAAAAAACAGTAGATCTATTTTATAAAAAACAGCAAGAAATAATATGAACACAGGCACAATGTATTCATAATAAAGCCAAAGCTCCAACAATAACATCGATTTTATTGAAACATACAACAACAATACATAAGAAATGAATATTTCACCAGAAAACATCCGCATAACAAAGACTTATTCTTAACAGTAGCCACCTCATTTAATTGCACCTAAACCAACAAAATCTACCTCAATAAGTAGAATTTAGCGTTCTCCTGATGTATTTGAAAATTTACCCACTTATTTCTCAAATGTCGAAAACAGTGGTAATTAATCAATTTTTATAATAAAAATAATTATTCACAAACTATTTTCTAATTAATAGACTGGAATGTTAGACTAAACAGCATAAATGATTTAGAAAAAATAGCAACTGAATATCCTAAAGAGTTAAGTACTCATAAAAGTTATGTTAAATTTTTGGATTGTATTGCTAAACTTAATAATGATTAGAACATCAAAGTTTAAGTGAAAAGCTTAGAAGTATTTTAATAGCTAATACCTATTTTACAAGTAATTGCAATAATAAATAAATAAATATCTTATTTATTAATTTATATCTTAAATCAATATAAAAAAATCAAATACACACAGCATTCAAATTAAGTTTTGTTTAAAATCAAATTGCTAAATAATTTTATTTAAAAATAGGATTCAATACAAATAAACATTTAAAATGTTATGAACAGTGTATTTAGTTCTTGTGGATCTTAAAATATGCAAATTAAAAGAAAAGCAGAAGAGGTATTATAAACAATAATGGAAAATGTTGATTCTTAATATTTATTTGAACCTTTGAATAATGGATCTCTTTTTGCTAACCCAAAGTCAAAACCTATTATAATAGACAATTTGGCAAGTAATTTATTTATCTTTGAAATGATGTTTAATACTTATTAAATAATAAAAAAAAAGACATATGTAACGAAGTTTCCAAAAGAAAATAAAATATATTCCATAAAAGCATAACAAAGACAATACAAAAACTGCTTCAAGAAAATAAAATAGAACTTAGACAACCCTTAAAAAAGCTAGTCAAAGAAGTTTATGAAATATTAGAAGAAGATTTATTTATCGGTCCTTTAGTTTCATACAAATAACAAATTATGGATATGATAGAATGAATAGACAGATAGATAGATTGATAAAATAATAGATACCAATTTATACTCTAATTGATATAGATAAATAAATATTTAAAGCATAATTTTTCAAAATAAATTAATTAATCATATTATTAACTTCATAATTAATATTAAAATTTATAATAATTATCTTGTATAATATTCGTCATAAATAAATACTTTTTATATTATCATATTATAACGATTATTTGTTTTTTTGTTGCCCACCTAACAAAACAAACAAAAAAAACTAACAAAATAAAACTTTACAAAACTGATTTTCTAGTTTACATGTAATTCAGATAAAGAGAGAGTTAATTAATTTCACTAAAAGATTTACCATCATCACTCTTAAAATAAATTTGAGTAAATGATTATATAAATATTCACAAATACAATTTCTCTTAATTTTATTATAAAAATATAAAATGAACATGTAAAAAGATATAAAAAAAAGAGTTAGTTTGTAGTGATTTTTACTTTTACATATAAAATATGTTGGAATTTATTGATTTTGCTTTGATTTATTCTGATATGAAAATTAAAATTTTATTTATTTTTTTTTTTAAATTGAAAATTGATGAAATGAAAAAGGATTAATTAAATCTATTAAATTGAAAATTTAAATATTGAATGATTAAAATCTTATTTTTATATTAAAAAAATTGTTGTATGATTATTGATTCATTGGTTTATTGATTGACACCATCACAAATATATCTAAGATGAATTGATACACGACTATTCTTTTTGCTTATTTATTTACTTATGTATTTAGTTATAGTTAGTTAGTTACTTAATTACTTAGTTATGTATGTATGTATTAAGTTTTATATGCATTTATGTATTCTTTATCTTAACAACCAATCAAAGTTTGTAGTTCTATTGATGAATGAATGGTTATTTGGTTGATTTTTGATAGGCTTATTCAAACATGCTTTTTATTTCAATATTTATTTATTTATGAATTTATTTAATGTATTGATTATTTACAAAAGATGGTGATAGATAGATAAATATTACGTATTCTTCTCTACTTTTTAACTAACTTGCTTTGATTGAAACATTCTTTCTAACTTACTTTGATTTCTCTTACTTTCTTCTTTATTTTGTCACTGCTCTTAAATATTTCAAATTGTTTATAATTCTTTTTGAAATGATAGGTACAAGTAGAGTGATAGATGATACACACAGTAGTAGTTTAAGTAATATCTTCTTCTCTTTCGCTCTTATGAAGTTGATTTTGAGTGTGTGTTTGTTTAAATCTTCTTTGAATTTTTTGTCTTTTATTTTTAATGAGTTAGTTATTTATTCACTAAACTGTAGTGTAATGAATGAATGAATATATTATTAATTAAAAATTTATTAAAATTAAGAAAAATATGTGAATTCATATTAAGATAGACATATTTGTTAACTTATTTATTTATTTATTTATTGGCTGATTGTTTGCAAATTCATTTACAATTAAAAATTATTTATCGAATTGAAAGAAGTAAGCAAACAAACTAGCATTAATCCCTTTTTTGAAATTAAGTTATAAATAAATTGAAAAAATTGATGGGGGATTAGGAGAAAAATAAATAAATATGAGATATGATGATAAATTAAATAAATAAATTAGTGTACCATTTTTGTTTGTTTGTTTTGATTGATTGATTATTGATTTTGCTGTTTGAATATTTCTTTTGTTTATGGAGAGCGTGTATTTATTTATATATTTGTTTGTATTAATGAATGAATGTTGGATTTTGGATGTATTTCTTAAGAAGCTTAGTTGTGTCAATCTAAATACAATGATGATCTATCAAGTTTTTTGTTTTCAGCAATATGATGAATTAAATTTAATAATAGTTTTTCAGGGCAAAAGATAGTTAATTAATTGATTACAAAGAAAAATTCTTTCGCCCTTATAAAAAATGTTAGTGTTTGGATAGAATATTCTTCAATCTTCTTTCTTCTTAGGAGAGTAATTAAGTTGGACAGGATATTTGAGTAAGTATTTGTCACGAGTGGATCTATCAAACTAATATCTGTTGGGTTGAGCTAAGACCTTCTAAAATACTACGGCACGGTAGCAGTGAGAAACTTCCCAGGAGAAAGGATCTTTCTATTCTTCTTCTTGAGAGTAAGTTACCTTCATTTACTTTAAGAGGTCAGCAAATGGAGTCTTGTTATTTTCGTAGAAGTCAGTTAGAAGGTTATTTTCCTTTACTTCTAAGGAGTATTCTTTTGCAGTTTCAATGAACAAGTCAACATTTACTAGATATTCAGGAACGTATTTGATAACTCCTTCGACTTAAGAACCAACTGACTCTTGTAAGTAGAATCCGTATTTGTTACCATAAGGATTTTATTGGAGATCAATTTATTCAACAGGATTATCAAATTTCATACTGAAGTGTTTGCTTGAATAAATAGTACCACCTTCAGGAGTAGGTTGACCTTTGCTCTTCATAATATCTAAGACAGCATTACCGTCTGTGAAAGTTAAAAGCAAGAAGCCTTAATCGTTTAATCTTTTTGTGCAATTATCTAAGAAATTTCTTACTTTTTCTTCACTTTCATGCATGTAATGCATAGCCATTTAACAGGAAACAACATCGAACATATATTTACCATACTATTCTTTATCTTTATTTTATTCTTTTTCATTATTTTCTTCCTTTTTAGGTGATTAGCCTTCATCTTAATTAGTTTCTTCATTTTCTTTTTTATTTCCTCCTTCAAGATCCATTTAATCTTCATTATTTGGCTTATTTTCGTTCTTCTCATTACCATCTTCTTTCAATTCAGATCCTTAAGCTTCGTTCTCAGCAGCAGTGAGTGCATTATTTGGAGGAGCGTTAATGTGCTTCCAAAAATCTTCGCTTGAACAAGAACAATCTTTTTAGAAGAACCCGAATTTAATGTTGGAATGATAGCGACTGTTTTATTTAATTTCGTTTAAAGTGATTATTGCTCTCTAGTATGCTTAGTTTAATGCTTCCATGGCAATATCAACACCAATGTAAAAGCAAGCATGACTATGCATTAACCACTTTTTGTGGTCACCACCCTTACCACAAGCCAAGTCCAAAATGTATAAATAATTTTCAGGTAATTTGGCATTCTCTGCTTTGACAATAGATCTCTATATCTCACCATATTTCTGAATAAGAACACTCTTTACCCAATTATGGAAGACTCTGATATGGAAGGTTTCTAAATTCTTTCTTTCCTACTAATTGAATCCCTTATTATTATTGTAGAAGTTCTGAACTTAATTATTAGAAGAAGATTGGTGATGATGGTTGTTATGTCCACTATTGTTGTGATGACCATGTCCGCCGTGGTGACCTCCTGCGTTATTTCTGTGATTTCCTCCATGATGAGAACCTCCTTGATTACCGCCAGAGTAGTGATTTGAAGATCTGTTATTGTTTCTGTCTTATCTTCTTCTATCGTAGTTTCTATCTCCTCTCATTTTACCACTTCCACCGCTTCCACGCTAGTTATTTAAGTTGCTGTTATTGTTGCTATTATTATTGTTGTTGTTGTTGTGTTATCTTCTATTATCGTTATGATGATATCCACCTCTGCTGCCTCCGCTACTGTGATTATTTCCACTGTATCCACCTTAATTGTAACTGCTGTTATTATTGTTTTAATAGCCGCCGTTTCCATGGTGGTTATTAGTGCCACTACCTCCATGACTACCGTGGTAGTTATCACCTGAAGAAGCATATCTGTCTTTATTGCCATATCCACCTCCTCTTCTGTTATCTCCGCCACGTCTATCAGAATTTTAGTAAGTTTCACCTCCATAATTGCCATGGTTTCCACTTCCGCTTTGATAGCTATTGCCACCACTTGGATTCTAATGATTGTAGTAGTTATTAGGATTGTTATTGCTATTAGAACTGTTATTATTGTTTGATCCTCCTTAGTTGTAATTTCCTCTATCTCCGCCACCACGGTTTTAATTGTCCTAACGGAAGGCTGGATAAGAATTACTATTGTTGTTATTGTTATTGTATCTGTTTAGCTTGTAATTAGAATTTCTATGATTCATTTCTGTCTTATCTATTCAATTAATGATTATTTGTATATAAACTAAATTATTTATTAATTTATTTATTATTAATTTGTTTACTTCCTCAATCAAATAGTTAGTCTATCTATTTATTTATTAATAGATCGATTTTTCACCTTCTTATTTTTTTGTTTTTGTGAATTTCACAATTTATCTAATTAAAACTTTATTATTTTCCTCCTACTATTCTTAAATTCATTTGAAGCAAAGAATTCCTAGAAAAACTTAGAAAAACCACTCTATCTATCTATGCTTTATATTCAGAAGATACATAAGAAAAATAGAGATAAAAAGCATCTATAAAACTAAATATTAATTAATTATTTATTATTTTAATTAGTTTGTTTTTTGTTTATCTATGTTATATGAATGAAATGTGTGTCGTGTGTTTATTTATCTAATATGATTATCATATTTCTCTTCATTAACTTATTAATTAACTATTATGATAAATTTATTTATTTCATTAAGTGACTAAATAAAAAGTTAACAATTAGACAAATCACTTATAAATTAATAAATGATTCTACTCTCAAATAATTATAATTTTTCTGCTTTTTTTAGAATTCTCAAAACTTTTGACAATTTTATAATCATTATAATTTGGCTCACAAAATCAAGCAAATTAAAATCATATCTTATACAAAGTTATTATCATCAGAGGTTTAATTTAACACTAAATTTAACATGTTAAAATTCAAAATTATAAATTTATGAAAGCCAACCAATAATTATTAGACTAATTTCAATTAAGCCTATTAATATCAAAATTAATACTTATTTATAAGCAATAAAAAGCCTATATAAAAATACTAAAATACTACATTAATAGTAAAAAATTTAAATTTATTAAAGAATTTTATATATTGCATAAGCATATTTTGTAAGTATTAGTTTTATTAGACATATTAAAAAGTTTATTTAGAAAGATTAAAATATAAATTTAAAATTTAATAAATTGACAAAATTTGTTTGAAAACTATATAAATATCATTTATACATTTTCAAGTCAGGAAACTTATTGGAGGACCTATGTTCTTTCGTATAAATTTTAATAAATAGATATTAAAATATAAAATATATATTAATTTTTCTTTTATTTATTAATATATAAAATTTATTTTAGTTCTTGATTAATTTAAGTTGAAATTATAATAAATTTTTTGAGGTAATTATTTAAATATAAAATTATTCATTGCATTCTAAATTTAAAAAATAAACAAATAATTTATATTTATGTTTAATTCTAATTTATTTCATTATTTTATATATTTAAAGTAAATTTTAATATTTCTACTGCTTTTTATTAAAATATTCTAAAGAATTAATTAATCAAAATTTATTTATTAATTTTATCTTAAATACCAAGAATAAATTTTAAATTTATTAATCATAGATTCTAAAAATTAGAATCTAAAGAAATAAAACAATTCATAAATGTTAATCTACTAGTTAGTATTAACTTAAATAAATAAATTTTGAAAATTTAAAAACTTTATGACATTTATTTATTCTATAAAATTTATTTTATTTATAAATAAATTAAAATAGTTATAATTCTATTTAGAAATGCTTAAACACTTGTAAGAAATATATGAATGATTAAGTAAGTTTCAAATTGATAAAAACCAGCAGATAAGTTTATATTGATTTATAATTTTAATTTATTTAATTAAGATTTCTTTTTCAATAAATTTTATTTCTATGCAAAATAATAGAATTAATTGAAAAACTTTGATTGAAATATGTATATTAAATACCAAAAATAAATTTTTAAATCATTAATTTTAAATTCTAAAATTTAGTATCTAAGAATATATGTTAATTTAATTATTTATTAATATTAATAATAATAAAGTGATATTGAAAATATAAATAATGTATTAATTTGTTTGCTTTTTATTAACTCAATAAAATTTATTTTAATAAGAAATAAATGAATTTAATTAAGTTAAAATTATAATAAATTCATTTAGAAGTATTTCAGAGTAATTATTTTTTTTTCAAGTAAAATTTAAAGTTCATAAAAAACAAGTAAATAAGCAAATAATGAAAATATATTTAAGTTTAAAATTCTAATTTAATTATTTCCACTTTAAGTAAATTGCAGCATTTCTACTGCTTTTTATTAATAAATACAATTTATTTTATCTTCAAAAGAAAATTTATTTTTCTACTTTTGGCAAAATCTTTTTTAAATTCTCTTCTAGTTTTTAAAATGGCTCTTGACTGCCTAAACCCCAACTTTTATTTAAAATAAAATATGCTTTAGATTTTATTTTAGGATTTCAATAAATTTTATATTTTTTACTTTGAAAAGTTGAGTAGAATTTGCTTTATCTGAGAGTTGCTTTACGATAATTTTAAGAACCCTTAGACTAAAGCTTATGATTCAGGTTATTTGCACTACCACCAACTATATTTATTTGTTAATATTTTATTATATTTGCTTTAATAAAATTTTATTTACTCTTCCATTTCCAACCCAAAATATTTCAAGTGCTAATTACTATCAGCAATATGGTAAAGCGACTATCCTATTTCTGTTAATCCCTTTTTTGTACAGAGTCCCCAACTAAATTATAAAATTTATTTAAAAATTTAAATTTAATCTTAAATTTTACCTGCTTAAATTTAAGTAAAAGTATTTTAAAGAAGTGTTTGCTCCTCCCAATTTTATTATGCTATTGACTAGATACTAAACTGCTTCATTGGTACATTTAATCCAGCTATTATTAATTATTATTTTTCATCCAAAAATTGATCATATAACAAATAATTTATCATTTTAAATTATTAGAAAAATTATTCACTAGTTTAGGTTAAGCGAGAAATGCAAAATGCATTTGTTATTGTCAGCTAATTGGTGAATACAATTCGCTATATTCTCAACGATGATGTCCTCAACTTTGTCTGCACTATTATATAAATTTAACTTCAATTTTCACTAAAGAAATAAAACAATTTTTACTTCTCAAAATCTAATTCAAAGAATTTGACTCTTTTATTTTTCTACAACAAACTTTTCAATCCAACTAAAAATCTTCCTAATCCTTTATTTGACAACTGATTCCATCTTTTATATTAATTAATTAATTAAAAAGATTATTCTACTTAGTATTAAGTAGATAAATAACTTTAAATGTATTACCCTGGTATTTTGAATGAAACGAATCTAAGCTAATCTGAAGTCTGTGATATTGCTTTGATAAACTTAGTTATTTCTTGTAAATCATTATCAGTTGAGGATTTCACACTATTTTTGTTTAAATTGTTGATACAAATTCACATAAATTATTTTTTACTATTGAGCACCCAAATGAATTTTAATGCCAAATAAATTTTTTAAGGGAATCTGGCTAAGGGTAGAAAAGAATTCTTTGATGTCTATAGAGTTTTGTCTAAATAATATAAATTATATTTTTGTCTTTAGTAGATATATTTTATAATTTTTTTTTTACTCTTAAGGCTCAATTATCAATAGCTTCTCTTCAAAATTAACATCCCCTAATGGTGTCAGCATTTAGCAACTTTTAATAATAATTATTTAATTTGTTTTTTATATTGTAACGGATATTTTATTTTGAAATTAAATTGCAAATTACTCAAGCTTCCTCACAATAATTGTGTTATGATCATCTTTAATAACCTAAGCATCTAATAGATTGCTTATAATAACTTATTTTTGCTTTGATTCATCAAACTGTTTTTTAATTGTTTAAAAGATATGAAATTTCTAGAGAAGAAATCTAAATAAAATACTCTTGTTAGAACTTCACAACTCTCGCCTGGTTCTACAACAATATCTGTGTCTTTAGGAACTGAGCCACTGCAACCCATTACTGTCTATAAATTTATAAGCTTATTTCTTTTTACTAAAAATTAACTATTATTATTTTGATTTATAAAGTAATTATCACTGGCAATTTTAAAGGATTTATACCACAAATTATAGTTGTAAATATATTTAATTAAGATTTTTAGAATTATTAAAGAAACAAAAAATAATGATCGTCCTATTTTGATGTCATTTTACCAAAGATTTTACATTAATCTAGAGTGTAAGAATGACATATAAATTAAATTACATCCCAACAAGAACATTTCTGGAACCAATTTATCAATATCAAAAAAGTAAATTCAATACTAATTTTTAATTTGAAAGTAAGCACAAACTTAAAATCTTACAATTAAAACTATAAGATTTAAATCTTTAATCTTAAAATAATTTTATAAGTATTGGTAAAAATACTAATTTATTGTATTACTTTATTGAATGTAAGTAAATAATATTAAAAATTAAATTGAATAAATTCTAAAAATAAATCAATTTATTTAATAATTTTTCAATTAAATACAATTTCTATCTTTATAATGTGAATAGAGAATTAATTAAAAAATGTTATCCGAATCTATTCTATTTTTTATACATAAACATCATAATAATAGTAAAAGAAAATTATTTATTTTATAAACATATTTTATTGAATGTAAATAATATTAAAAATTCTATTGAATAATGAAAATAAATCAATTATTTTATTCATTTTTTTTTTAAATAAAATAAAATTTTTTTTCTTTCTAGGAATTAATTAAAAATATTGTTTTAAATTAAATTTATTTACAACAAAATATTAAATTTAATTTATTATTAAATGATAAATTTAAAATTACTGATTTTATTATTAAAAATAAAAATTTTTATTCCAATTTATTCGCTTTTTTTTTTCCCTTAAAACATTATAAAAGCTTAATAAGAATTTATTTCATCATAAAATTTTTTTAAAGAAAAATGAAACTGTTTTATCAAAATTTATTATTATAAACTATTTACAAAAGCTTATAAAATATTTGCTTCAAAAATATTTTGTTAGCTTACTTAAAACCTGTTTTGAAATATATAAAAAATTGAGTTATTAAGATCTCAAATAATTTTATTGTTAATCTTATATAAAATTATTAAATTAATAATCTAAGGTAAATAATAAGATTAAACTAACAGCAATCAATATTTTTTAATATTTTTTTTTAAATAAATAAAATAGGTGAAGCCAATATGCTTATTGAATTATATTTTGTAAAATTTAGTAGGATTATTAATTTAAGAGTTTTTCATATAATTGTAAAAAATTATTAAAAGAATACGTTTGATTGTATTTAAAAAAACTTATTTAAATTACTCAGATTTTAATGCTAACTTTTTAATTAGGTTGAGGATAAAGTTTTTTGATATTCAAATAATTTAGCTGAATTGTTTTGAACTAATTTATGAATATTAAAATAAGATTTTAGATGTAAATAAATAAAACAAGAAGTATTATTTCAATTATTAATATAATACCAAAAGACTGATTACAAAACTTTAGAGGATAAATAATTCTTTCACATCAAAGGAATGATTTAGTTAAAATTTCAAAAAATCTAAGAATATTGGGCTAGTAAATTTAATTAACTTGGTTTAAATTTTTAGCCAGTATATTTTTCTTATTCGAGAGGAGTAAAATTAACTTTTATTGAATCATTAAACCCATTAAAAACTAAAAATAGTTTAAAATGAAACTAGTGTACTTATTTTTTTTAAGCATATTTTTCATGAAATTTCAAATTTTGGTTATAAATTTTAAAGTTTAAGTCTATTTATAGAAATGATTACATTAACTCATACATACTTAAGTAACTTACTCAAAAAAGATTTAGATCAATAGAAAATTACAAAAAATTAATTAATCTTGGAATTATTTTAACTGATGAAAAATAATAGGAAGATGATGACAAAAGTTATGTGAATTAATTTGATATTTTTTAAAAAGTATTTTTTGTCAATATTCTGTGATTAAATAATTACTAAATTAGATTACATCTGAAGCACTAAAATACAAAAATTTAATATACAAAATAAATATCCCTTATTTCATGTTTGCATTTGTAACATTTATGAACAAATTAAGATAATTAATTTTATGTATAGTAATTGATAAAATATAGTTAAATATATTAATTAACAGAATTAAAAGCCAACAAAGCATAAAGAAAAAGAGGAGATAATTGATATTAATTATATTATTATTATGGAAATTTATTTAATATAAAGAACTTTTGTGATAAGATTATGATTAATTAGCTGAGTAAATAAATTAAGTGGTTTTAAGCTAGTAATTAACCAACCATTCTTTATTTTTATTATTCAAAGAGCATTTATTTTTATAGTTATTAAATTTTTTGAATATTTTTTGAATGAGTATGTATATATATGATTGAATTCTATGTATGTATGAGCTTGTATGATATTATGTATGTGCATATTTGATGATTGGAAATAAAATGCTCTCTTTTTTGTCTAAAGAAGTATTTATATATTGTTAATTGTTAATTGAGAGTAGAGTAACAGTTAAGAGTCATTCATTTTGAAACATTTTAAGTAGGTTTTTATAAATTTTGATAAAAATAGAATATTTAAAAGAATTTTTATTTGGAATATCTTGTCAGTATTATTATTATAACGCTTGATTATTTTATTTATAACTTTTCAATATTCTTAATGCTCATCACTGAGTAAAAAAGCTTAATTGTCTTCTTCCTTCTTTTCAAAGGACATATAATTTTCAAAGGGATTGTAACCGAATTCTTCAAAGTTTGTGTCGACTTATTGAGGATTCTAATTAATTTCTATGATTTAATTATCTTGCATACTTGATTTTGATTGTTTTTTATTATTTTTTGCTTGAGTTATCTTTTTAACTTCATTTTTATAGTAGAGAGAAAGCAGTTAGTCATCAAATGTCAAGTATTTTTCCTTTTCATAAATCGGTTTATATATATGACGCTCTACTTGGAGTTTTTACTATTGCAAAGGATCTATTTCGAAAATTTCCATTTTGCAGCCTGCAAATTTTCTAACAAGACGAGCACATTCTGAGAAATCTCCGAATACCTCCTTTGCTAGGGGATCTTAGAAGAAATCATAATAAATGTATTAGTTGGAGACTTTTAATTCTATTTAAATCTTATCGAGTGTAATTACATTGACAGTATCATAAATTTATCCACCTTGTTGTATGTATTAGAAATCATGAATGTATCTTTCAATACGAGTTTTCTAGTCGAAGAAGTAGTTCAATCCATAACGTTGCAAGTATAACCTGGTTTCGCTAGGATCAGGACCTAAGATATCGATTAAGCCTTTGCTATAACCATATTAAATACTTCCAATATCCTTGTACTCTTCGTTTAACTTTCTCAAAGAATAGCAAAAAAGCTACTTTTTGCTGCTTCCTTATTCATCTAACAGGTATTAATTAACTCTTTTAAGAGCCTCGTTCATAAATATTTCCATTTTTTCTTCGAAATATTATTTCAGTTAAGGATTAGCATTCAACTTCTTATAGAAATAGTCTGCTTCGTTATAGAGGATAGAGGTCCACTTTTAATACATATCAAGTACCTATCCCCATCTTCTTATATTTTAATCAGGGTAGTTTTTATAAATCTAAATGCATGATGAGAAGTCAGATGTACGCGTATTGAAGTTAGGTTCAACATAAAAACGTGAAATTAATGAGTTTTAATCAATAGCATAATTTTAGCAGGGACGCCAATATTTGAATGCAACAAAGCGATTATCAGCAGTGAAATCTCTCTCAACATTCAGCTCTACATGGCAATCACCAAAACCTGATATACTGACCTTGTTTTGAACGTTTTTAGAGAGAGGAACTAGACTATAATTGAAAGCAGTGTTGGATTGCTGGCTTTCATGTTGCTCGTATTCTTGTTAATTTTAGAGAGAAGAAGAAGAAGATTATGAAGAAAAGGAATCTCTGGAGACAGAGGAAGAAGTTGAGTGAGATTAAGAAGAATGGTGGGAAAGTTGGTTAGAAGAGTTTTGTTTAATTGAACACTAGCTGAATGCAACAACACTTTTTTTATCTTTGGAAATGGCTTTCTTAAATTATCTGAGAGGAGATATCTTCTTCTCTCCTTTGTGCTCTTCAGAGTCTTCTAATTAGTTTTATGAGGACTCCTCTTACTTTTCTAAAGGTAGAATCACATTATTTTATGCTTATTAAAATAACATATCCTATTAGGCCTTAAATTATTTACCACAAATATATTCTCCTTCAATTATCTATTATTTTTTACTACAAAATTTAGCTAAATCACTGGAATGGCATTTACTCTCTTCCAGCTCCTTTAGTGATTGAGGTTACTGCTACGATACCAGATTCAAAGTACTAGCGCTACCATTTACCAAGTTACTGGAAGATGGCTGCTACTGAATAGTGTACCTACTTGATGCAAAATCAAAACAATTTTAAGAAAATGGTTTCATAGGTTAGCACTAGTCTTAAAATTAATTATCTCTTTCTTATTCTATAGCATTTTCAGGCTCCTCATCTTAATAGGAAGAAATTTATTGCTACTAATTGAATGAGTTTGCATAAATAGGAGCTTTTGGAGGATGCTACTGAGTCATATTAAACTAATGCATGTACTCGTTTGAATTGGGTAAGGCTTGATTATTAAACTGGGCTTAGCTATCATACTAATTATGTTGATAAGGCTAATGCATGAATTTTATATTGGATTAAATGCCAAACATATTACTCGATGAGTGCGGAATCAATCTATTTGCTCTAAATATCAAATAATCGAAGGTTATTTACAATATTTTAAATCTATTCTTGCTTCAAACCCAAAAAGAATTCTATTATAAAGTGTGGTTCGATATTATTTTATGAACTTTATTAACCCTTACTGTCTTTATCAAATGAATGTATTTCTTTTTGTTTTTTGTTTTACTCTTTCTTTTGTTGTATTTATTATTATATTGTTAAATCAAACCCTATCTCTTGCTTTTTTTCTTTTAAGCGATTATTTATTTATTGATTTATTTTTTTGATTTTGATTATGTGTGTATGTTTGCTTGGAAGATGCTAATTATCTATATATTTATTGTCAAATGAATTTAATTTGAATAATTTATTATACTTCTCCTATTTTTAATTGAATTATTATACCTTTTTTGCTAAACCATTACCTCTATCTAATTTTTGCAAAAAACTTACTTACCTCTTTGCATGTATGAATAACAATAAAAGAAAGTTATATATGCATGAATAAATGCATATAATATACATGTGTAATTTGCTTGGGAAGAAATTTATGTCTAATTAATATAAAATATTGCTTACTTAATTATTGGTGTATATTTTTAATATAAAATAGAACCACTTTGGGTTATCTGCTATAAAAAATAAATCCAAATCTTTCATTAACTATTGAAACCAAATTTTTTGAGTAACCTGAATATAAATGATGCTATTTAGATACTTTTGACAAGATTATTGGTTGCTTGCATTATTCAATTCTAATAAACTGTCCGTAATCTCACCTTGCATCATGAAACAGAATAATAATAAAATTGCACCAAATTTTATATTAAATTTTTATATTTCTGAATAGGGGCTAATCTTACCCCAAAGATTATTTATTTAAAAAGGTTAGTTTCTGAATAACAAAATTAATTTACTTATTAATTAATTAAATAAATAACTAACTAACTACACTATATCCTCCAAAATTAATGTAAAACTACATTTCTAATTACATTAATAATATTTAATTATCTTTATGAAAAAAATCATAGATCTAATTAGATCGATCCTCATCAATTATCTCTTGGATATTTTTCACAAAAATATATTACATCTTCTGTTTATTATTTGTTTTTCTACTCAATTTATCATTTCAAGAGTAAGAAATTTCAACTTTCTAATTGTAATTTTTTCAACTCAAAGAGTATTAATATTTAAATAAATGCTACTAAAATTAAGTTTTTTTGCATAACAATAATCTAATTTTATCAATTTTGTATTCAAATGATAAAATATTTTTTGCTGATAAATATCATTCATTTATCAATTAAAATCATCTAAATCTTTCGTTAAAAGAAGTTTTTTTTCCACAAATGTTTGCAAATTTTTCAACTTTCAAGAGAGATACTTACACATATCAATTAATAATAATTTACTCACCCAAAAGGATAATAATGTTATTATCATTTAATGGTTTCAATTAAATTTCATCTTTACAAAAATTTTATTTGTTCTTTTCCACTTAAATAATCTTAGTATATCCCTAGCTATATTTATATTCACTGGATTAGCGCATATTAACGTCTCTTACAAGCATAAAAAAGCAAATATGAAATTTTAAAATTTTCTTTAGGTGTAAACAAAAACTGATTTGCTTTTAAAGTATTTATTCTCCAATAAGCATACATAAATTAAATTTATCCTTTCAATTTTTACTTACTCGTCACTAAATATCAGCTTATACACGTAAATTTGCAAATATTTCAGTAAATTTATAAAATATTCACTGTAAAAACTGTAAATTTAAATAATTTTACAGTGAAAATTGTAATTTTGAAGTAATATCAGCTTTGATTTTAGCAAAAAAGAATATAGAGCAATATTTATCCTTGAATTTATTCAAAATACTAATGAGCACATATCAAGTAAGAAAAAACTAATTTGCACTTTTATTTTAATAATATTTTCTTCAAGTTAATAAATAAGTAATTGCAATAGATAGATATAAAAGTTAGTCTTCACGTTCTTCTTCTAACCCCTTCAACTAGTTCAACTATTACCGAGCAGATTTTATGATTATTCTGCATTGCTTTTAAATCTTACGCTAGAATAATTTTGTAATAAGACAGTCTGTTAAATTATAATTTTAAATTTCTTTTAGTCCTAGCATATTTCTTTAATACTGCACAGAGATTACTCCATTTTAATAGTTAGGGAGTCTAGAAGACTGATAAAATTTAAATACTATTTATTAAAAAATGATCAGAAATCTTCAAATTTTATCAAATAAAAAAATAAAAATCTCTTTTCGAATGACAGCTCGTTTTTTTTTACCACATAATTTGTAAAATTTTTTGTAATCTTGAAAAAAATTTACAATTTAGGAATTCAAATGCTATAGAAACAGAATTTGGGGACTTGCTGCTGATATTAAATTTATTTATTAATAAATTATTGTGGGCTTTCTCTAAATAACAATAAGTATTTCGAAAAAATAATCACTTTTGCAATAAATAATAGTAATTACACTAAATTTTGAATCTTATTACAGTTTCTTTGCATCCGATCAATATTCATTATTTGTAATATTTTTATAAATAACTTTCTAACATCAAATAAATGCAGTAATATGTAAGATTTTTGTTTATAAATCTTGAAATAAAAGAATATCTTTAATGATTTTCCTCACTTAAAACTACAACAATGTAACTCATCTCGTGTTTATTTATTGTATTTATAAAATATATTATAAAATACATAAGAAACAACCAAATATTTATCCAATAAACTTAAACATTTAATTCAAAATTAATGGTATTCTTATGATATTTAATAGAAGTTAGTTATTGATTGAAAGATTAAAACATAAAGGAAAAAAAATAAAAATATATTAAAATTATTTGATATGAAGGTTGGGTTCAAAAATAATTTAAATACTATAAATAATCGACACAGTTTTCATCAAATCAAATTGGATCAGATTCATGCATGAAAATAAAAAATAGACTTTATACAATTTATGTTTATATATAGATAAAATTTATAAATTTGTTTTTATTGTCTGTCTATAACATGTTCTAATCTAATTCTTATTATTAATTATCTAACTACTTTAACCCTAAATTATTTAATTTAGAATGATTTCTCTTCAAATTATACTGTTTTAAAAAATACTGCTTTTTTAATTGATAGTTAGAGTCTTTAACAAGATTCTTAGAGAATAAAAAGTGAGATAGTCATTGTTTGAAATATTAAGAAGTGGGCAGTAAAAAGAAAAAAAATTTTTTTTCTTTGAGTAAATAAGATTCTTCCTCTAATTTATTAATTAATTAATTTAAGTTTTTATTCACTTGATTTACTCATCCATCCATCCATACATGCATGCATGCATACAAACATAATATTATATTTGCATATATAGCTTTCTCAACTGAAAATAAAAGAAGCCAGCAAATTCTTTTAAGAAAAAACAAAAGGAATTAACATATTCTATTCTCTGTTTATAAATATATTCTGATACTTTTGTTTAACGCCAGCTAGCTTGAAAAACTTAGCTTTCTACAAATTTTGTTTTCTTAGATAATATTTAAAATATTACTTGACAAAATTTAAAAACTCATTTTAAGAAAAATACAATTTTCAGATCCACAACGCTTCTCTCAATTTCATTTAGACTTTATATAAATTCTTTAAAATAACCTACAGTCATTTCAGATAAACTGTTTTTATTATACCTTTTAAACCATATACTGACTATTCTTTAAATAATTACAACTTTAGTATTCAAATGCCAAATTATATTTTATAGAGCTTCTTATGTTACTAAAGATTATCTGACTCCATAAATAGAAAACAAAAATTTTTCTATTAGCTTTTTTGTATAAATTTATTTTTATATAAGCAAATTTTTTAAATGTTAGAACATATTTGTTAATTTCTATAGAAAATATAGTAGCGCTCATCGAGTAGTTCAAAATAAATTTTCATATTTGAGTACACATTTATGCTCAGCTAACAAGTATTTATAAATATTTAAAGACTCTTAATAAAGCAAAAAATAAATTTATACTTTTAAAGGTTTATTTTAGGAACTCAGGAATACTATGAAGAATCAGAAAAATATTTTCATAAAAGTTTGGTGATTTTTCTCTTCTATCCTTTTGGGTTGAAAAAATTACAGTTTGCTTGCTGAGCAACATTAGATGATTTATATTTTTTTTGATAAAGTCAAGTTGAGTTAAAATTTGCAGAAAGTTTAAAATGTATGAAAAAGCAATTTCGCAATTTATTTATTCAATTTTTTTCATTTAATTGATTTCTGTTTGCCTTTATGTAACCTTCACATCATAATTAACTTCTTTTACATATATTTTATGGAATAGGAATTTGACAAAAATGCAATTTCTATATAATTTTTGCTCTTTATTATCTAAATTTTTTTCAAAATTTGTAGAAGGCTATATGAAAAACCTTACAGAATTGCAGTAGCATAATGTACTATAACTAATAATCACTCAACATATTTGCTTTCACTGGAACTAATTTGAAAAATGTAATATTTTCTTGAGAAATAACGCAAAAGCATTTATGGAAAATTTGAGAAAATTTTATATTTGAACTTAAGAATTAATGAGACTGTAAACATTTTGATAAAAAAATGAAAAAAAAAATTGCAAAAATAAATAAAGAAATCTGCTTTGAAAATTAAAATAAAAAGAAAAACAAATAAATTTTTTTCATAGTCAGCCAGCTTTTCGTGTTTCAGTTTAGGAATTTAAAATTAGAATAGGTTAATCCGTAAGTTTACACTCGCTAAAGAAAGCATAAAATATTCATTTATCTGTTTGATTTGATTGATTAAGTGCCAATTTTCTAAATAGATGATAAATTTTCTTTTAAAAAGTAAGATAATTAATTAGACCATAAATTGGTCCATCAAAATTTCAAATGTAAAAACTTCTCACTAAATTCAGTT